AGAAGTACGAAAAAGATTACAAAATCTTTAGAAAGATAAACACTCGGATTTCTATTTTAAAATCGAAATCACGTCTTCAATGTAATTATGACTGTAAACCGACTGTAAATGCCACTGGGTTTAGATTATGAAATGCTATCTGGTGGCAAATTTTCCAGAATATCAAAGAAAAAGTCAATCATTTATTAAAAAACCTTACTATATTTTGTGAAAGTTTTCACTTAACTTAAGCTAAATTACGTGAATATAAAGGTTAGAGAACTGATAATATTTTTTCGTATGTAAGTAAAAACGAACAGTTAGTTTCGTTGTAAACTTATGTGCGTCTCCTCCTCCGTCAATTAAGGGTAGGCAACGCATCTGCAATTGCGGATGTTTATGGGCAGCGGTCGCTTTTCATTTCGGTGGATTCAAGTGGCCGCTTGCTCGTTTGCCACCTTATATTATTAAAAAAAAGTACAAAATATAAAACAAAAACCCTGTTGTATAATGTACCAATCGATGTATTTATTAGTTGGTCCTTCGAGTCAGATGTTGTATTTGTGTTTGCAGGGTTGAACAGGTCAGCCTTTGACAACAAGACTGTCTCGTTCGAGGAGCACATAAAGAGCGAGCACAACATGTGGCACTACCTCTACTTCATGGTGCTGGTGCGCGTCAAGGACCCCACAGAGTTCACCGGCCCTGAGAGCTACGTGCACTCCATGATAAAAGTGATATTTCTATTCAAAAATTTTCTTATAATCTCCTATTCAAAATAATCTAAATGTTGTTTTGTCTTAGTTTGGCTAAATGTTTTTAACACCAAACCCTCAATTGGTTTCTAAGTGAGTCCCTCAGTGTTACAGATTTAATACTAAATCTGTTATGTCGCAGTAAATCTCATAAAATTGTTACATAAACAAACACATACTATAGCATTCTAATTTAATTAACGCCCGAATATTGAAACGAATTTTGAACACTTCGCTTAATAAGTATCGTTTATAATTTATCTGACGTTAATTTGTAATTAAGCGTTACCTTTATAAACGCGGCTACAAATTTAGATGTCGTTTCAGTATTCATAAATGACACGCACCTTGTATTGATTTAACGACTGTAAGTGAAGTATATAATGTTTGTTGTAGTCCAACAACCTAGACTGGTTCCCCCGGCTGCGCGCGCTGTCGCTGATGGGCGGGGGTGAGGGCGAGGGCGGGGAGGTGGAGCTGCGCGCGCTGCAGGCGCAGCTGGAGCGCGCGCAGGCCGCCGTGCGCACGCTCACCGACCTCCTCACGGAGCTGCGCGACCAGGTACGACACGCCCACTCAACACTAATACACGCCCACTCAACGCTAAGACACGCCCACTCAACACTAAGACACGTCCACTCAACACTAAGACACGCCCACTCAAGACTAACCCACCCCCCACAACGCAATAAGCTACGCCCACGTAGCACTTTGGTACATGAACTGCGCACTACGACACCCACATATCGGATTATGCCACGCCCATTGAGCACTAAACTACGTTCATTGAGCACTTAAGCACGCCCACTGAGCACTAAACTACGCCCACATCGCACTAAACCACGCCCTCATAGCAATATGCAACATGAACTGCGCATTATGCCACGCCCACATCGCACTACGCAACGCCCTGTTCCTACAAACACATACATTTGACTCAAATACAATTGTTATGTACTGAAGGTGAAATAATTTAGTTTATGTTTTGCATTCTAAAGTATAGAATTTTAGCCTGAGATGCCAATCCCATGTTTTACTTATAAACTTTGTCGAAAAAGACAGTAGGTATTTAGTCACTTAAATAACTATGAAATGTATATTCCAGATGACAGAACAACGTAAGCAGAAGCAACGCATCGGTCTGCTCAACTCCACCTCCGCCTACCTGCAGAACTTGCAGATGAACCTGCCGCCGTGACCCGCCCCCGCCGCGCACACGCGATACGCCCTTTAGACAATATCTTTTAGAAAATCACGTTAAATCTATAAAATAACTATCCAATTGACACACTTACTGTTATATCACGTCCTTTAGTGTGGATTTCTTATACCAAATCAACACTTAAGTCTATTAGTGATTTTTAGCAAAGTGTGAAATTTAATTGTTTTAGCCAAAGGCGTTTAAGGTTTGTTGTTAACGCACAATCGACTTTATTACGTAGCATCACGGGTTATTTTCAGTTTTCAATGACACACGACATTCATTAACTAGGAAAACAATTTTTTTTAACTAAATAAGTCAAACGAAAATTAATAGAGTTGGATTCGAGGCTCTAGAGATCTCTGACTATTAAAAAAAAAACAATTTTATTTTTAATGTAGATAAAATTTATCCATATGTATTCGACTAAAACGTCCTTTATGTAGTTTTATCCAAGTTTTATCTTTAAAAAGGTAATATGTCAATGATATTGACAGTTGTTTGACAGATCGCCAGAATCTCCCGCCATTTTCATGTCCGACAGATTCATTATAAAATCAACCTTACGTTTATTTGTTAAGTATCAATGTTGAGGCTTACAACGTTTAGTAATAAAGTTGGTAGCAATAATTAGTTAACACAAAGTATATAAAAATAGAGAAAGAGTAAACATTAAATTGTATACGGATAATGGCAACATTAGCTAGGAATAATTATGAACAAGTTTGTGACTTAGAATAATCGACGATGGAGTGGGCTGTTTTAGAAATAACTTTTCTTCTATTTACTTCAAGATATCTTTTTTCACTATTGTTATTCATTTTTTTATTGTTGATCATATTTTAAGTCTATCAAGTTATTCAAATTATATTAACCGATATTGTTATTTTCGCCACTTGGCAATGCCTTTCTTATATCCTTTGATATACTTAGGTATATAATAGCTCAAATCCGTTACCTATTTAATATAAGAAAAATCGAATATTATTTTTAAAATATCATACAGATCTGAAAAATTGTGTTTAAAACTGGCAATACCAATTAAGTTTAACAATTCTATTGTTAGATTTATCCGACAGTTTTAGGTTATGTGACGAAACAATGGTTGTTCTTGACGTAATGTTTCCCGCCATTTTGGGAAACCATCGACAAGAAAGGTGTTTCTAGAAGAAACTGTCAAATGTTTTTTTTATATTTTTTATTAACACTTATTGGACAAAGGTATATGAAGATTCCCGTTTTATCTCTATAATAGAGAATAAAAGCTAGTTTTAACATTAATATGGTTTTATTAATGGTTACCGTAAATAGCGTTATTTTTAAGTTCAAATGTGAAATAATGTGCCAAGAATATTCAGTAAAAAAATCGAATAAGTCTACACGATCTGAGTTAAAATTATTTTGTACTTAAACAAATATTTTTTCTACTTTGTTATTCTGTGTTTTTAGTTTATTGTTTTTTTCTTATTGGCTATGTTTAACAAACTAATAAAACCGAACATTTTAAGGTACAAATTATTTTTAGATAACAAAGAAAATGTTTGTTTCTTTGATTAAAAAAAAACTCTTTTTGTTTTCAAGACATTTTTATTTGTCATCTCATTATACAAATTTACATGCATTTACACACATTTTAATGTTTTTTTACATTCTATCTTGATGTAACCGCAGTATTTATCTAAAAATTCTCTTTATCTATACTATATTTTTTTATTCTATTTACATTCCTTATTAACTAATAAAATATGCTTGAATTGTTTAAAAATTATCAATAAATCTTAAACTATATTTGTCTTTTAAATAATAGTATCAATGTTAGACAGTCTTTTAAATTTCTCTATAGATGTTATAATCTCGTAAATAGCTCGAAAATAAAGATTCTTTCATTTTTAAGTTTTATTTTTACTAGTAGATATATATTTGTCTATATTGTATGTTTAAGCAGACCTTATTGTGAAGCTTCGATAAAACATGTTTTGTTTCTTTAAAATAAAAAATGGCACAAATATATTTGTTTCATTTCAAACTCTGGCAAAAGTACAGCAATGCGAGAAATATAAAAAAAGAGACGGCTTTCGGTACAAATATCCATCTTCAACTTGCCCTTGTCTCACAGAGGGTGGGCACAGTATGTGTTCTTCTAAACATTGCTATCTGCCGTCAGATCTGAAAAGGGAGTGACCCTTTCTCTTCTCTATCTTCTTATCAAATATGTGTTCAAATAGAAACTGACGCATATAGAATTTTTACTGTAGTTTACTCGATTGAGACCGACAGTGACCAGGCATTTGGTTAACTGGATATCGAGTTGGTATATACCACTTTAACTTATTTACACATTATGCCCATTGATGCATATGTACGTACGTACGTAGTTAGTATGACACACGCAAGGCAAGAATATTAAAAAAAAAACGATTGTTTCTTAAGTTGGCACGTCAAATAGGTGACCACAGTAATCCCGATGTGCCAATTCAACTATGTCTGAAAATACCCTTTCGGCCTTCCCGACCACTTCACACGCTCCTACAATAAAGATTAGGTAAATGAAATTTAGTTTAAAAGTCCGATAGCGATAAGCTATCACTATCGATGATAAAATGATCGCCAGTATTAACGTAGTGATGCTCGCGGCCGACATGCGCGTCCTCTGTGTTATTGTCACAATAAGTGAGTACAACACAATTATTTATCTGTTACAACCAAATGTATGTCATGAGACAACAACAACATATCGCGTATTTTAAAAATTACAAGTTAGTTACTCTTTGATTGAAATGTACATGTATACGGTTTGTCTTTGTGTAAAGTAAATAAAACGATAAAACCTACTGTTTTGGTTTAATGTTATTTTAAATATACAGACTTTATGTAGACAATAGAATGTTTCCTTCTAAAGTAAACCAAAATACTGTAAACGTAAAAATAATCTTAAATCCTTAACCACAAAAAAATATGCATTTTTAGAGTTAAATTGATTATCTAGATGGTGGTAATATTCTACTAACCAGAATAGATTTCATTATTACTCAGCTTATAACAATTCTAAATATTTCCGGTTTTTTTAAGTTGTTAACCACTAGTGGAAACTCAGGGAATTACAATCGTTGTCAGTCAATTAACAACTTTAAATAACATTTTATTATCATATTGTTAAGTAGTTACAATAAAAGTGAATCATTCTTTTTTCAGATATTATCATTAGTTATAAGGAAATTCATCGGAAATACTTAAATGGGATTATAAATTTCTACTGATTCCTAATTATAGTAAGAAAACCAGCTTATGAAGATTTGTAGCTTTTTTAATCTAGCAGAAGTTTACAATAAATCTCTTGTATTTTTAGTTTACAACGTAAATTCTATTCCAGTATAATAATAAGTATTCGTGCGTATAATTTTGTTTAACATCACGGTCAATTAAATATGCTACTTTCACTCTTAATGGTTTTCGGTTTATAAATGTTTTTTAGGTTTGGTGTTTGGGGAAGAGTTTCGCATAAAGACAGCGGAGCTTATCGCCAGCCCGCCCGGCACGAGGATCATTGGCGGCAACCCTACAGCCATAGAGAGGCATCCTTACACTGTACAGGTAACAGATGTTTGATCCAGCAAAGCGAGGCTAATAAATTCACATTCCTTAGTCGAATTTATCTACATGTAAATATTTTTTATTTCCAGATCCTGATCGGCAACCAGCTGACATGCGGCGGGTCTCTGATCACGCGGCGACACGTGCTGTCAGCCGCGCACTGCTTCGTCCTAGAGTAAGTTTATTGAAGATGTAACAGTTTTATTCACATTTTGAAAAATGTAAGTTATTAGATGTTTATTAAGTTTTGACCGAATATTGTTTTTTTCTTTCAACAGTGACGGTACAGTCGTCAGTCCTAGAAACTTCAGAGTACGCGTCGGTGCCACTTACTTAAATTCGGGTAATTTCAGTATTATGCTTTTACATAGCGCTTTTCTATTTAATCTGAGGTATTTATTTATTTGCATACTCAGGCGAGGGCACAGTGATTGCGATGTCGACCATCATAGTGCACGAACGCTACAACATAGTGCCGCGCGACGCCGACGTGGCGGTGGCGCTGCTGGCGGGGGCGGTGCCGCAGACCGCGCGCGCAGTCCCCACTCCTATCGCCCTGCCCGGCGCTGCGCTGCCCGTCAACGCCAGCGTCGTGCATGTCGGCTGGGGACGGACTAACGTATGTTTACTCCCCGAAATTGTAGCTAGAGATTTCACATTTTACTAGATGCATGATGGATTTTGTTTTCTTTCAGGCGAATATCCCCGAGTCGTCGGACGTTCTGCGCGAGGTGACGATCTTCAAGGTGGAGCGCAGCATTTGCGCGACGCGCTATCGCCAGCTGGAGGTGCTCACCGGGGAGCCCTTCCCCGTCACCAACAATATGATTTGCGCCGGCGTTTTGGATGTCGGAGGTCAGACAGAAATAATTATAGGCGTTTTTTTATATCTAAAATAGGTTGTAGTTTTAAAATTGTATGAATGCGGGAAGTCCCTCACATTTCTTTTCTTTGAGGTTAGTTTGTTTTTTTCCTCGAAATGTCTTGTTGAAGAACTTGTAACATAGAAGAAAAATAGTTGCTTGTGGTACAATTTTGTTAAAAGTTCCTTAAAACTAATTTATCACATTAGGCAAGGACGCGTGTCAGGGCGACAGCGGGGGCCCGCTGATGTTCTCGGGAGTGCTGGTGGGCGTCACCTCGTGGGGCTACGGCTGCGCGCAGCCATACTTCCCCGGCGTAAGCGCGAGAGTCTCTGCCTACACCGAATGGATTAACAGGACCGTGAGTGTTTGCGATACTATATAACTATGGTTCTTCACATGTGAGTATTTGAATACTTTTGTTACCTTTAGTTCAGAGATTGAAAGTTAAAATAATGCAAAGTCGAATAATAATCCAAGTGTCAGTTGAGCTATAGCGATAATTTTTTTTTTAAGGTGGTGAGATATAACGACGGCTACAGACTGAGCGTGACCCAGTTACCGATATTTTTATCTCTAGTTTTGGTAAGATATTTTAAAACTTTTTAACATTGAATTATTAATACCTATTTAGTGACATCCAAGTCAAATTGTATGTCCGGCTTGAAGGACCAATTTTTGTATTTAACTGTGTTGTGGGAAGATAAATAAAAAGCCAACATCGAGATATCACATATGAATATTTTATTTAGGATTAATGATATAGATATAGTTTATGATACACGGTACAATAAATATAAGGTACTTTGTGAGTCGCTACACATGTCATGAGGGCGCGGCCGCGCGCAGCGACAGCAGCACCACCTGCCGGCACCACGCTGCAACGTTACATGTTACATTTCATAACATAACACTATAATATTATATTTAACGTATATATACTATATTTAAAGTCACGTAAAACTGCGACAGTTTGTTTAAAATTTTAGTGACCTCAATATAAGATTGTTAATACTCTAATAGTGACATGTTTGTGTCACAGGCAAAGATATTAAAAAAATATGGGAAGCATATTTGACATGAGAGACATTTTTCACTTGTTCCACTAACGCTATCTATTCATAAGTCCTTAAAACCGCATGTCAATATAATTAATTGTATTTAAATTAATTGCTATAATGTACGTAAATGATTTTATTTTATACCAAGAGATGGAGATTTTTATATCGTATAATATTACATGTGTAAAGGACACGAGGTGGCATTCTAAACTTGAGAACTAACAGTACTTTTCAAAGAAGTTACCAGTAAAAAATATTATTCACTGTCTATATTTCTTAAATATCTTTGAGCTCAATATAAAATAATTTGTACTATAATGGTGGCATGTATGTGTCAGATGTGTACCCACCTCTATCGGTGAGCACGTCGTCTACGAGCACGTCTGCGAGCAGCGCGCCGGCCTGCGCGCGCGCCGCCAGCGGCCCCGCCCCCGCCCCCGCCGCGCACTGCCCCGCCCCCACCTCCGCGCCCTCGCGCCACGCCCGCCCCCCCACCTCCACCCCGCGCCAGCGGCACAGCTCCTCCGTCGCCGACACGCCCTCACGCTCAGGACCCTTTACACAACGTAACAATAGTGCTACAGCTGATAGAAAAGTCAAAAAATGTATGAAATTGACAAGAACATTCGATAAATCACGTGCTTGTCACGTATTACTGTGTTTTGACACTTTTTGTCGATTCTACTAACGAAATACCTAATTTTAAGTTTTTTTTAGCAAATTGGCTAGACATTGATTGATGATTGAAACTACTTTATATAACAAAACTATTGGTTTTAAAGACTGTTTGTAGTTCTGAAAAATCTTAAAACTGGAGTGAAAAACACTAAAAATCCGAATTTAATGAAATCATAAGTTAAGATATACCTATAATTTAAGATGTAACTTTCCGTGTATATTTTATACCGAAAATAAATTATTTATAGATAAACAAGCATTTTTTTCATATCCCCATACGCAAAAAATATACTAGCTTTCACCGGCGTCTTCGTTCGCGTGGAATTAAAGAAATAGTAGCCTGCGTTCTTCGAGACTGGGCTAAATTTCAAAAATATCCTTTCAGCAGTTTAGTCTATAGCAAACATCCATCCATCTAAACTTTCGCATTCACAGAGGAAGGTAGAAGGTATTTTCGCATTTTTCTTCACATTGATATAACTTAAAAACTACTGGACCGATTTTAAAAGTTCTTATACCATTAGAAAGCTACATTATCGCTGAGTAAGATGGGCTATATTTTTCAATTACACGTAGACCAAGTCGCGAGCAACAGGTAGTAAAAGCTTTGAGTACACGTACGTCAGGCGTGTGCTGGGTGTGTGTGTAGGCGCGCTCCTCGAAGCGCTGGAAGGCGAGGTCGCGCTCGAGGTCCAGCGTGCGCGCCACCACGGTGCACGTCATGTCGCGCGCCGGGTCCACAATTAGAAAGCTACGCTCCTTATCTTCTGATATCTCTTCTGCCGCCTGCTGGGGGTCCGTCTGGAACACAACAACCATACAATCATATTGATATAAATGCGAAAGTTCAGATGGATGTTTGTTAGTTTGTAGCCTAAAAGATTGAACGGATTTCGATGAAATTTAGAATAGATGTAGAGGATAGTCTGGAAGATCACATAGGCTACTCGCTTTTGCTATTTTTAATTCGCAGCAAAAGCTATAAATAAAAAGACTTTATAGATTCCTTACAAATTACAGGTTATCAGTTCGCAGTTTAAGCGTTTATAATAAAACTGTTGGTACCTATTTTCTCTTTTTTTATTTCGATCTTTGCACAAAAAAGGCTGCCTTAAAGAAAAGAGGTAGAATATAGAGTATTTTTCATGGTGTATAATGTATAATATTTCTGTCATATCTATTCTAGTATTTAATTATTTGGTATTGAGTGTAACTAATCTAATCTTTCTTCTGTACACATATACAAAAACAACAATAACTCAATATAAATTAGAAAATGTAAAGAATAAGATACAAGTTAAGAAGTTAAGCAATGTTTACTTGTAGTGGGGCGGGGTCGAGCACGGTGGCGACGCGGCCGCTGAGCGCGTCCGTGAGCACGTAGCA